ACACGAGGGGGTGGGGTGGTGGGTTCCATAGTACATAATATTAGCTCCTACAATAAACATTCTATAATAAAGAAACATATGTTATACATCTGGTATAAAGCGATAATGAAAAACAATGGGAAAGACTTCAACTACCGTTATAGACAAAGTCATGCATTCATGAAGAGGCTCAATACAAAATAAAATGCAAATGTAGCAATGGAGTAAGAGTCTAGGAGGAGGGGGGCGCCGTGTGGGGAGTCACATTTACAGATCAGATCTGATTTGGTAGCACAAGTTAACATTACAATTACATCATCGTCCCACAAACCGGTGAAATAACTGATGATGCTGCTCATCCACAATCAATCAATCATCAGGATGGTTTAGGTCATAGCATAAAAGAATTTATGAGAGGATCAATAATTATTGTCTCAATTGGGAAATTTGTGAATATGCGATTGAGAGATGAAAGGAATGTATTTCAATGCCATAGAACTGGCCTGAGAAATACTTTGAGATCAGCCGTTCACTCTTAAGAAACATGTCAATGCATGTTGAAAAGAGGATATTTCGAAAAGTGAATAACTTATAAGTGAGACTTTACACCTGAGCTCAGGTTTGGATTTTACATCTCGTTCAATACAATGGTTAGTAGTAGGACCCCACAGCAATCCTGTTATACTCTGACATAGCAGCCACAAGTTTCCATCTCAGCTAGACGCCAAAAAGGAACATGGTCCCTTCATGGCATTACTACATGCCCACATCCCACATTCATATAAAAAGAATATATTATTTTTCTATTCTACAAAAACATTTTTAATGATCAGTTGTCATAAATATTAACGTCACAGAAACATTCAACAGTGTTAACAGCCTACACCGTGCGCCAATATACACGTGCAACTCATTGATTTACCAGCAACAACAATAAAATAAATTATTCAAGTCCATTAATTTTAATATTGAACAGTTTGAGAGACTGGAACCCCTGTAGCTCATGCTATAGGCACTTGGATATCACCACAGCAAAGTTCTCATCAATTTCCGAAACAATCAAATCTTTAAAGACAATCCAAATTGACACAAAAGAAAACTTATATCCCCAATATAAAACAGGTACCGTACCATAACTTGATAGAGGCACACAAAAAAACATTCTAAGGTACAACAAAAATTTAGACCACACACAGCTAACTGAAATGCGTAAAGGGACAGGAAATGTTATCCTGACAGGTAGATAGGGCCACAGCAAATGCACAAGTACTTGATCACTAGTTCATTTGATTCCCGAGGTGGGGTTTTCAGAGATGGAGTCTATCCATAACTCCTCACCCCTCCTCATCAGGGTCCATGCAAGAACTTTCTCAAGGCCTCAGCGTAAAACACCGAAGGACCCACAGCTCAAACACAACATGACACAAATTCTAAATAATCATAACCTAAAAACTGTCCTTTCTCTGGTTTCGTCTTCCTCTGCTTTCACCCCAGTCAGACCCGAGACCACAAACATTCCTAAACATTCACAAGGGGCAAATCAATGAGGAGTGAACAAAACTCAAGAAGCAAAAGTATGGAAAAACAGTAAGCGAAGAGATGGGTCAAGGCCACAGAACCAAGAGTTCATCAATCTGTGGCCTCGTGTCCTCTGAGCTTTGACAACAGAGGAAATAGGGTAGTCATTGGCCCTGAACACAGAAGTAAACATTTTAGTTATGTGTAGAGTGATCAATATCAGGACAGAATATCAATATATTATTATATATATATAGATAATAGATAGACAAATTTGAGGACTTCAATGAAAGAACAGGCATGGCCACACTTTTTTCAATTATGAGAAACACAAACTTGGGCTCAAAAGAGAAATCTCCCATTTTCCTAAAAGTAAACACTGAGACTTTTAAAAGGTGGTCAGTATTAATTTTCAGTTTCCAGCAGACTGTTTTCTTTTTATCAGATGAGACTGAGTAAACAGAAAAGTGAAGAAAAAAATTAGTTGACTCATCAATATAACTCAAAATATAGCAAAATGTGACAACGTTCATTCTTGTAATGGAGTCCTCCTTCGTAAAACAGCAGACGAGACATTCATAAACACCTTACACATCCACCACCAACAGCTGGGTAAATCCTGACATCTCACACAGGACAAAAAAACAGCACACTAAGGATGACGTCATTCACATTCTCAGTAATTGGACATAATTTGAAAAATATAACATTATGAAATACCACCCCCAAACAGGAACAAGAATTCACAAAAATTGTCATGTTTTTTATACAAGAGTGAAAGGGCACTCCGAGCTGGAAGGTGAACAAGGAACTATCACAGGTAAATAAGTACATGGGTTACAACAGTTATAATTATCATTGTTCACAACATCACGGGAGGCATCTGGTTAGTCAGTAAAATCTCAAAACATACATTTTCAGTAGAGCAGAACAAAATACTAAGGTACCTGGCAGCACTTATCAAGCTGTGAGCTTGGTCGTTGGCAGAATAGTTCAAGTCGGTGCAGGGAAGATGAAGGTTAAAGATTATGAGCGAATTTGCCACGAGAAAAGGACACCAAAATGTGAGGCGGCATGGTGAAATCAGGCACTTGTCAAAATAATCAAAGTGAAGAAACTGTGTCATTTTACCGCAGATTAGTGAATTTTTATAAAATTTTTGTTTTTTGGCTCAACACTTTTTATGCTGATTAAAGAACATTTTTCTGTGTGGATTTTTTCTGAAAAAGCGTTGATTAAAGGCAAAAGAAATGTAAATTTTCAGTTTCCACACTGTCATAAAAAATAACATCTTTGGCGGCCACTTTCCCACAAATTTTACCTCTGAAACCAGGTGACCCCCACCTCCTCCATTCGCAAATATCTCGATTTCTATTCAAGATAAATGGATATTTTTTTCCATCCAAAGCAAGACAAGGAATGAACAAGGTTTAAGATGATACCAATAACTCTACAAGCCCAAAAACTGACGAGAGCCTGATTCCACCGCGTCGCGACACATATACACCGGAGACCTGTGGAACTTCCACATTCCCGTCTACAGATGTTTTTCCCCCCCCTTACCTCACAAACAAAATCTGGGCGGGTGCAAAGTGAGTCAAGGAAAACTTTTCCTCCCTCCCAGACCAGCGTACAGTAGTTGGGTGATATTGTGAAGCGAGCTGATAAAAATGAGTTACTTCACGCATAATCCACAAATGAAGAGACTGGGCAAAAAAATCCACACTAGGGTCAAATTTGTAGATTTTTGATTGTTGTCACTTTTTCAGTTTCACAGGCTTTTTATTATTTCATACTATTATAAATTGTAAAAACGTCACCTATAAGAGTGATGTGTCTAGATCTATTTCCACTGGGCTCAAATCCGAGAAGTGACTCACTTTGTCAGCACGCTTCACATATATATATATATATATATATGTTCGTTCACCACAACTACAACTCCAGCATCTCTTGAGCGTTCTGGGGAGACTCCTGAACCATCCCCACGCCACGCTCAACCCACACTGCTGGCACACTGTTCCCTCTCCCAGCTCTCACACATAGGGACAGAAATAGAACGTTAGGCACAAAACTTTATCCACTCAACAACTTGTGCAGCGAGGGAAGATTTGTTCATCAACTATCTACTCATCCCAGTGTGTGGAAAGATTCAAACATTGTCCATTCCCCCCCCCCAACTGTGAAAAAATGAAATCATTCATTCTATTTTGTGTATATATGTGTCACGAAGCGGTGGAATCAGGTGTTCGTCAATTTTTGGGCATGTGAAGCTATTGGTGTCATCTGAAAGCTGATTTATTTGCCTTGCTTTCAATGAAATAAATATCCATCTATCATGAATAGAACTCAAGGTATTTGCGATGGAAACAAGTGAGGTCGTCTGGTTTTCAGCGGTGAAATTAGCGAGAAAATTGCCGCCAAAGTTGGTAACTCCAATAGCTAAAGAGTCCTTGAAAATAAAAAAATGACATATTTTGAGCCTTTAATCAATGTTTTTCAGTAAATTCACATGAAGATGTGTTTTTTTAAGGACATAAAAGAGATTGAACCAAAAAATATAAATTCGATAAAATTTTCCAAACTGGCTGAAAAATGCCTGTTTCTTCGATTTTTTTTATTTTGACGAGCGCCTGATTTCACCACGCTGCCTCACATTTGTTCAAAATTTATCTGTTCATCCCAGCATGTGTGAAAGTTTCAAACATTGCCCAATTTCCTCCCCCCCCCCCCTCCCCCGCTGAGAAAAGATGAAATCATGCATTCTGTTCTGTGTACTTATTATTGCCTGTGACGAAGTGACAAATATTTAATGTCTTAAGCTGGCTTTTGTTAATTTTCAGACTGTGAATTTTGGACACAAGTTTTAAAGAAAGTAACATGTTTGTGAATGTCAAATGTGAAGGATGTGACGGCAAGAAAAAAGGAAAAGAAAGATAGAGAAAAAGAGGGAGTGTTTGTGTGTGTGTGTGTGTGTGTGTGTGTGTGTGTGTGTGTGTGTGTGAGAGAGAGAGAGAAAGAGAGAGAGAGAGACAGAGAGAGAGAGAGAGAGAGAGAGAGAGAGAGAGAGAGAGAGAGAGAGAGACAGAGACAGAGACAGAGAGATCTACTTGTCTTGATTAATACCCTACAACTCCCCTCCCCCGCTATAATTCACCAAAACCTGTTTAGAGTGATACTATATATCTGGTGTTTTTTTTCTAGTTTCTATACATAGATTACGGTTCAGATCTTAAGCATTCACATTTCATTCCAAGCAGACTGTGTCCAAGCCGTATGTGACCTCTGTGTGACCTTTGTGTGACCTTTGTGAGAATGACTCCCTACCAGTAGTGCCAGGCGTTAGATTATCTTACTCCCCCCCCCCTCCCCCCCTCCCCACACACACATGCAAGGGTTAATGTTGTCATTCAATTTGTGATCTTTAAATTTGGCAATTATTAATGCGTTGTAAAGGACACTTTTATTTTTAAAGCCAAACAAATGTTCAATTTTTGCGTTAGTTTTCATTTTGTATTCCATAACATTGGACAATGTGATATTGGCACAAAGAGAAGATCTTTCTGTGTGTATTACAGATTAAAACATTTGACAAACAGTTGGTCATTTGTTAAGTATAATCAAGTATATGTGCATTGTATGAATATTTGTGTGTGTGTGTGTGTGTGTGTGTGTGTGTGTGTGTGTGTGTGTGTGTGTATGTGTGTGTGTGTGTGTGCGTGTGTGTGTGTTTGTGTGTGAGTGTGTTTTGTTTTCGATCTCACCACTCTCACCACTCAAACAAACTGGCACACTAGTCATCATCATCATCATCATCATCATCATCATCATCATCCTGCTGGAAAAATTAAACAAATTTCTGACGGAAAAAAGTTCAAGATCAAGTCAAATCATTCAAAGTTACATTGCTTCAAATATTTATATTCATTCCCATCCTCTCAAAACCCACTTGCTCTAAACTGTGTATGAATCCTTCAAAAATATTTCTCTTTCAAGAAGAACAAACGTTCCGTTTCATCATATCAGTATGCTCTTTGGGTTGTACAAAATTATTTCTTAAACTTTTTTTTGGTCCCAATAAGCATGGTCTTTGTCTCCCCTCTAATGTCTTGTGAGATTCGATGCGTACCGCTGGGTCTAACCACAGCAGCAAGAAACAATGAACAACGGAAATTTCCTCGCTCGAAGTCCATTTAGGTTTTCACTTCTTTCTCAAGTTCATTCTCAAAACATTCGTAACACAAAGACAATCAATCAAATCCGACTCATTGATGCAAAGAGCAATCATCAATTAAAGCAAGTAGACAGAGAGATGTAATGATAGAGAGACGTAAAAAGTTTTGATTTGTTAAGTTCAAAGGTCACGGTCAAGAGGTGACCCAGATGAGTGTTTTCTGAGACAGATGTTGCCGTGCCGTGGCACAGGACAGACCAGACAGACCAGCAGACGCTGGGGACAATACAGAGAGTCTGGCCACACGGCATGTTTCTTGTGGTACATGATATGTATTATTGTGGTATTATTGTGGTATTATTGTGGTATTATTGCTGGAAATGTTGCTGCCGCGGAAGCATGGACCAGTGCAGTGTGTTGTGTGTTGCATCACCGCACGCAGACAGACAGCTGTGACACAGGGGAGGTTACTCTATCACCGCACGCAGACAGCCGTGACACAGGGGGACGTTACTCCATCACTTCGACTGTTCGCTCCAGACGCTGTGAGAGATACAACGGTTGAGCTGTCATTTTACGCCTCTTTCCAAATAAACAGCACTTCATTCAAACATCAAAGAAAACATTGACAGAGTTCACAACACAGTGACAAACATACAAAAGAAGTAGAGGAAAAGTGACGATAGTAAGGATGAGGAAAGAAAAAGCAGCATTTCCCCCTATGTTGTTCTGGCACAGTATGAGCATGACATTGATAAATCAGCTGTGCATAAGAACATGCTTATATCCCCCCTTTGGAAAGGGCCTAAATACACTTCAGTCAGTGGCACTGCCCCGGGGGGGGGGGGGGGGGGGGGGCAGTCTGCACTCTCTATGTCTATGTGGAAGGAAGGAAGGAAGGAAGGAAGAGAGAGGCGGTCGGTCTCTTTAGTTTTAGTAAGAGTTTTACGGCACTTACAACACAATAAGGTCACATAAGTGCCGAAAATTAGAGGCGTTACAAGAGAGCAACAAACACAAAAAAGAAGGAGAGGAGATAAAGACGACAGATGCTTGATAGGAAACAAGAAGGAAACCACACCAGAGCACCCGCCAACCACCCACTGGTCGGTCTCTACCCACTTATGTCTATCTGGAAGGAATGAAGGGAATAAGAGGGAGGCTGTCAATTAAGCATCTGTACTCACCAGGCCTGTCTGGAAGGATGAGAGTTTCTTCTCTCTGTCGTAAAGTTCTTTCTCTGTCTCGCACAAATCTCCTCTCAGAGTCTTGATCTCGTAGTTTTTCCTGCGGATGATTTCCTTTTGCTGCCTCTTCCTTACCTCCGCCTGCAACAAACAGACACATTGTGGTGGAATCAGGCGCTCGTCAAAATAACAAAATTGGAGAAACAGATATTTTCCCAGCAGTTTCACAATTCTAATCAAATTTTTGGTTTTTCGTTCGACCCTTTTATGTCCAAATAAAAACACATTTCCATGTGAATTATATAGAAAAATGTGGATTAAAAGTTCAAAATAAGTAATTTTTCAGTTTTCAAGGGCTCTTTAGCTATTGAATTTACCAAACTTTGGCGGCCATTTTCTTGCTATTTTCACCGCTGAAACCAAGCGAACTTACCTCTTTCAATCACAAATATCTTCACTTCTGCTCAAGACAGATGGGTATTTTTTTTCATCAAAAGCAAGATGAATGAACAAGCTTTAAAATGATACTAATAACTCCACAGGCACAAAAATTGACGAGCGCCTGATTTCACCGCGTCATGACACATAATATGTGAGGCATGCCGACAAAATGAGTCACTTCTCGCAAACCAGCCACAAATGGAGATATTGGCAAAAAATGGACATTAGGGTCAAACTTATAGATTTTCAATTGATGCCAAGTTCTTTAACTATAACCTTGCTTTTATTATTTCATACTTATAAAATGTAAAAACTTCAGCTATAAGCGTGATTTATCTACTTCCTTAAGGCTTGAATCTGAGAAGTAACTCATTTTGTCAGCACACTTCACATATTTCTCTTCCTCTCCTACCCCTGCTAGAGTTCAGCGAGCGACTGACTGTAAGATCTTCCTCTCACAGCAAAGCAGATGTTTTACATATACAGTAGAGTTCACGAATCTCGAACACGTAAATCAAGAATTTTCGGGTAAATCTCAAACATACCACTCGCTCCGTTTCAGTCCCTATGTGTTCTTTGTATTGACTTCACGGAGTTCTCGAACACGCAAAACTTGAATCTCGAACAAATCCCCTCCGCATTCTCAGCTAAGGATCCAGCTTTACAGCCTTTCTGGCCGTGGGCAGGTGTTTCTTTGTTTTTGATACAGCCAAAATGAGGCCCTTGTCTCACCACGAGAGGCTGGAGGAAGGGGGGACAGGGAAGGGGGAGGGGAGAGTTGGGGAGTGATGCTGACCGCACCGCATGACTCGCCCGCCATGCGTACAATCATGCTGTGGGACACGCATGGTGCAGATGGCAAGAGGCATAACTTTCTGTAAGCCAATGAAATGAGAGGAAAGGAATGACGTTGAAGTCGGCTGAGCACACGTGAGATTTTCTGCTTTCCACTTTCATTCATCTTCTTGCTTACACACCGTCAACACATTAATCAAGGGAGCTTACCACGTTAATAGTTTTAACGTTTGTTTTTACCTCCCTTGATATTCTCTCTATTTATTTGTATATGGGGCTTTCGCAGACATGATAAATTATGGAAATCTCGAACACTATTTCCAATCCCTGACGAATTCGAGTTACCCATGTTTGACTGTATGTCCATTTTATCTACACAGAACACAGAATCACCTCTTGCCCAACAGGAAGCAATGTGCTCTTTTCAAAGGTACTCTTCATATGTATTTGAAGTACTGACTAGAGTGGCTTCGGTTTTGGGGCGGGAATTAATCTGAATTACTCCTGGCCAGAGCCTGACTCTTTTTCAATTTTAGAGCCACCACAAAACTTTTAATGTGTGAAACTTCAACGTGGAATCTCTGAAATTTTTGGTCAATATCTGAGAACACTAGGTGCTTGATCCTTCCTACCAAGAGATAGGATCTAGGGTGTAGAAATTGTTTTTCAGATGCCCCCCAAAAAAACATTAGGGGGAAGTTGTCCCAGCAAAATTTACCCTCTTCATATGCACACAGAAAAAAAAGTGGTTCATATTAAAGGGCTTTACTCGTTTTTGGGTTCCTGTTTATTTAATGATTAGGAGTACTAATTAACTCTTTATCTACAAGGGGGGTAAACCCACATTGCCAGGGCTCGTTTTTGGTACTAAATCTAAAAATGAGAAAACCATCACTAAATCGGTCATTAAATCAAAATAAGTGGAAGTATTTTGAGAGTTTTTCATCTAATGAATGAAATCGCGATAAAAGAGACTTATTTTCGGCAATTGCCGAAAAGTAATTTGATGCTGACGTCGTCGTAAAAGAATGTGCCCAAGCCGCTGCTAGCAGCTCACTGACACAGCGATTCCGACCACGAGCCTCTGGGAGCGGATCTTTATCTGGGGCAAATTGGAAATTGGAACAGGTGTCTAAGAAAGCTACTGAGGATCAGATGGACAGACAGGGTCACCAATGTGGAAGTGTTAAGGAAAACAAGACAGATCCCAGTCAGAGATGAGGTTGGAAGAAGGTGGTGGCAAAGGATTGGACATACTCTCAGGAAGTCAGGCAGCTGCATAACAAAGAAAGTTTTGGATTGGAACCCACAGGGCAAGAGATCAAGGGGAAGACCTCGTGGAACCTGGAGAAGAATCACAGAAATCGATCTACAGAAAAGTGGGAGGACATGGAATAACATCAAGAGGCTGGCCCAGGATAGAGAAAGGTGGAAGGTGTTTGTCCATGGCCTATACCCTGGCGCAGGGTGAGAAAGGCAATGATGATGATGATGACATTGGAAATTGAAGAAAGTCACCTCAGTGAGTTGATGCATGAAACATATGAAAAGCATAAGCTCCCCCCCCCCCAAATCTCTAATCATAACAACAAGAAGTCATCCCACCACCACTTTTTCCCCCAGCTACGTATTCCCCTTCCCTACTCCCCACCCCCTCACCTTGGGGTCCTCCACCTTGCAATGACGACCTTTGTATGTTGTGCTGTCGCTCAGATGTGACCTCTCGTTTTCAAGATGGAAAGTCTGAAACAAAACCAGGGCAATGTGATATCAACGGCCCGGAGCACAAACACACTCACACATATACACATTCCCATACACACACTCCAACAGACACACTCCTATACACACTCCCACATACACACATTCGCATACACTCACTCCCAGACACACATTTCCATACACATACTCCCCACCCCCACCACACACACACACACACACATTGAATGTTATGCTCTCTCAATTAAAACGGTTAAAAGGTCTTGGAACAACATAACATATCAATCACAGACGCTACACACCTAGCACAGGACTGAAACCTGCACCTCCCCTCGACATCCTAAGGATACCAGAGGACCGAAAAAGTAAAAAGTTAAAGTAAAGCTCTCTAAGATTTTCTTTCCAACAGCCCAGCATGCGAGAGGCAGAGAGTGTCTCACCTTCTTCTGTTTTAGTAGAGGCTTTACGGCGCTCGCAACTGCATATGGTCATATGAGCGCCAGAAGATTAGAGGTGTTACAAGGGAGTAACAAACAAACATAAGAAAGAAGGAGGGGAGAAAAAGACGATAGATGTTTGATAGGAAAGAAGGAGCAAACCACACCAGAGCACCCGCCAACCACGCACTCACCTTCTTTTGCTTGATGGCCGAGTTGAGTCGCTTCTCCTGGTTCAGACGATCGCGGGTTCTGTTCAGGGACTCTCGCAGGTACTGTGACTCCTCCGCGCGGCTACGCACGTCGTTCTGGGGAAGTGGGGAAGTAGGTCACCGCTTTAGGATCAGAGAAGAAATCTGGAAGTGTCTGTATTCATGTTTTGTTTTTGTTTTTTTGGTGGGGGGGGGGGGGTTGGTAAGTGTTTTACGGCGCTCGCAACTGCATAAGGTCATATGAGTATGCAAGGACACATAAAAATTTTTAGTCGGAAGTCAGTTTTGAATCTTTGCTCGGGTGGCAGCCGAAGCCTACTCTTATTGACTTCAGACCACAAACGAATCTTTAACATGCGCAGCATGCACACGGTCTGTATTTATTGCAAGACAGAAACTTTGCCGTCACATCTCACTAATCAGCAAAAATGCCAAAGTTCCGCTCCGTTCACAAAACGCCGATTGGTGATGTTTTCCACCCAGTTTCTTTGGATTTCCCCTCCAAAATGCTTGTGATGGCAAGGGTTTTTACTATATGAGCTTTGTGTAGAACCAACTCTTGTGTGGGTTGGTGTGAGCCTGAATGTGTATGCAGGTGTGGGAAAAAACATGAGCGTTTGTATGTGTTAGTTTATGTGTGTGTATATATGTATGTGTAGTGGGCTCTCGTGGCCAAGAGGTTAAGGTGTTGTTCACCTCTCATTCAAAGGTCCCAGGTTCGAATCCAGATAGTGACTGAAAGATTTTCTTCTCTACAATAGTCTCCTTTCACCTCCTTTCCTGCTCTCTGGCAATGTTCTGTCGTCTGTTTTCGTCTCCACTTTCTGCTCCCCTCCATTCACCTCCATTGTCCCCTCCACTGGGCTCCTGACTCTTACTGCAGCCTTTCTACAGCTAATCCTTGACTCCTTCTTACTGCTGCCTTGCAGTCATACCCCTGATCTTCCGGTAGGAAAGATCTACACCTAGCCTTCTCGGACAAGGGCAAAAAATCTCGGATGTCCCGAGGGCAAGCTGCACACGTTTAAGATCCCTTGGTGGTCTAAAATCAATAAGAGTAGGCTTCGGCCGCTATCCGAGGAAAAATCAAAATTTCCTACCTACTGAAAATGTTTTTAAAATGTGTATGTGTATGTGAATGTGTATATGTACGTGTATGCAGGTGTGAATATGAACATGAGCATATGTGTTTGTGTTAACTTATGTGTATGTGTATGCAGGTATGGGTTGGAAAATGAGCGCATATATGTGTTTGCGTTGGTTTATATGTATGCTAGATAGATTGAGTGTGTACATGAACATGGAATAACCTATCTAACAAAACATAAATTAAAAATTTATCAGTTAGGACCTTAACACATTCAAAACCAACAAGGACTTGACTCATAAACTCAACACACAGACGTAATAACAGAACTATTTTCAACAAGGACATTATCAGGGACAGCAAAACCTCTTTCTACACGAGTGATTCTAGAACACGCATGGAACGCACACACACACATATACACACACACACACACACACATACACACACACACACACACACACACACAGACACACATACACACAAACACACACACACACACACATACACACAAACACACACAGACGCACACATACACAAACACACACATACACACACACACACACACACACACACACGCACACATAAGGTTTCACTTACTGCCAATGTCTCCACTTGGTGGGATTTCATATCGGCCAGCTCCTGAGACTGCCTGCAACACAAACCAGAACATGGTGAAATAAAACAAAACTTTGCAAAATGTTATCTGTGTGTATATATATATATATATATATGTGTGTGTGTGTCATGACTCTGTGAAATCAGGTGTTCATCAATTTTTGTGCATGTGGAATTATTGGTATCATCTTAAAGCTTGTTCATTTATCTTGCCTTTGATGAAAAAAATACCCATCTATCTTGAGAAAAAGTGAAGATATTTGTGAATGAAAGAGGTAAGTTAAATGACGGCCAAAGTTTGGTAACTTTAATAGCTAAAGAGTACTTGAAAACTGAAAAATTACATATTTTGAGCTTTTAATCAACGTTTTTCAATATAATTCACATGGAAATGTGTTTTTATTTGGGCATAAAAAAGGGAGAACAAAAAACAAAAAATTTGATTAAAATTGCGAAACTGGAGGGGAAATACCTGTTCCTCTAATTTTGTTATTTTGACGAGCGTCTGATTTCACCACAATGCCTAACATATACCTCCGACATCAGGTGACCCCCACTTTCTTCAATCAGAAATATCTCGACTTCTGTTCAAGACAGATGAGTATTTTTCCATTGAATACAAGAGAAATAAATAAACTTTAAGATGATACAATTAACTCAGCATGCCCCCAAAAATTGATGAGCGCCTGATTCCACCCCGTCGTGACACATTTTGTTCAGGATTTTCGTCTGTGTGTGGGGCCTCGGTGCCCTGCTCCACTTTCCTCGGCCCCGACCTGCAAGTTTACGGCAGTCTCCCTCCTCAGGGATCTAAACAGAGTTGAGAGAGGCGTAACAAATTTCCCCCTCATTTACCTCAGCTTAGTCAGGTCTGTCTCGTAACCCTGCAGCAGATCATCCTTCCTGGCAATCCTCTCCTTCAGCACTTGGATACGATTGGCCAGCAGTTGGCATGCCTTCTCGCGAGCGTCAATGAGAGCCTCCCTCTCATCCTTCGGGATGTGCGCCATTGGTCGAAGGCCGTCAATTTCCTCAAGGTCGAGAGATGCAGCCATGGCTCTCAGAAGTGTTGCAAACTGTTGTAGGACACGATAGACAAATATAAAGTCTTAGACACGTAAGGTTGATGAAGGAAACAATAGATCGCGGTCAATAACAGATGGTGACAAAATAAACCAATGACTAAATAGAAAAATGAACACTCAATCTTTTAGCAGATATCTCTCTCTCTCTCTCTCTCTCTCTCTCTCTCTCTCTCTCTCTCTCTCTCTCTCTCTCTCTCTCTCTCTCTCTCTCTCTCTCTCTCTCTCTCTTTTTATATATATATATATATATATATATATATACATTTATATATTTTAACATGGTATAAAAAGACCAGATGACATAAGAAAACAACTCACTGCTAAAGAGACCATCTGGTTCTTACACTCTCAAACTTCCATAACATGCTCGTACCTGTTTACAGCGGCCCAGTTGTACCGTGTCACAGTGACATCTATACCATACTTTGTTGGCATTACAGTTAACTCTATAAACCCTGAGTTTTTTCCACTGTTCCCAGAGTTTTTTCTACAGTCATCTAAACCTGGTGCACTATGGCTCATTATAATCCCACAAGCTTGCTTCCAACTTCTAAAAGGAGAGAACAAAGGCTTAGTCATTACTAAAAAAAGCTTGGTTCGAGAATAGCCCCGAAAAAAAAAGCAATAACTAGCACTAAATAAAACGAAACGTTATCATTAGTATTGGACGCTACCACACGTATGCACACAAACCCATGATGCATACATACATCTGCACACACACACCACCAAACAAAGTAGCCTGGGAGTCACTCACAGAGACTTCGCTGGCCTCCAGGTGGTCCATGACCTCGTGGTGAGTGTTCTGCTCCATGTCCGCCGTACACACACACACCTGTCACTCACACACACACACACACACACATGTGTCACTCAATGAGACTTCGCTGGCCTCGAGGGTGTCAATGGCCTCGCGGTGAGCGCTCCGCTTCATGTCCGCCTCTCACAAACATACACACACACACACACACACGTGTCACTCACAGAGACTTCGCTCGCCTCGAGCGCGCCCATGGTCTCGCGGCGAGCGCTCTGCTCCAAGTCGACCTCTTCCACACATACACACACACACACACACACACACGTGTCACTCACTGAGACTTCGCTAGCCTCGAGCGCGTCCATAGTCTCGCGGTGAGCGCTCCGCTCCATGTCCGCCTCCACGTTGCTGGGCGTGATGAGCCCCCGGGCTTTGCCGATCTCGCGGTCCAGCGAGGTGGCGCTCTGAATGACCTTGTCCTCAGACAACGCCTGGTTGACCCGCATCTCCGCCAGCTCCTTCTTGAGCAGCACCACCTGCTGCAGCGCTTGGTCCTGGGTGGGCACTGAGGAACATTTCGATTTAGTAAAGAGTTTTACGGCACTAGCAAACACGAATAAGGTCATATAAGTGCCGAAGATTAGAGGCGTTACAAGAGAGTGACAAACACAAAAAAGAATGAGTAGATTGTTTTAGTAAGTGTTTTAAGGCACTTGCAAACACAATAATGTCATATAAGTGGCGAAGATTAGAGGTGTTACAAAAGAGTAACAAACCCCTCAAAAAGAAGGAGAAAGAGAGATCAGGACGATAGACTTTTGGTAGGAAAGAAGGTGCAAACCACACCAGAGCACCCGTCAACCACCCACGAAGAGAGAAAGAGAGAGAGACAGAGTGAGAGAGAGAGAGAGAGAGAGAGAGAGAGAGAGAGAGAGAGAGAGAGAGAGAGAGAGAGAGAGAGAGAGAGAGAGAGAGAGAGAGAGAGAGGAGAGAGACAGACAGACAGACAGACAGACAGACAGACAGACAGACAGACAGACAGACAGACAGACAGACAGACAGACAGACAGACAGACAGACGGACAGACAGACAGACAGAGAAAGAGAGACAGAGAAGAGACAGACACCAGACACATCATGCAAACAAAATAATATTTCTATATATGTGAGGCAGCGTGGTGAAATTAGGCGCTCGTCCAAATAATGAGAGTGAAGAAACTGGCATTTTCCCGCAGGTTTTGGAATTTCCATCAAATTTTTTTTTTGGCTAAGCACCTTTCATGCCCATAGAAAAATAAATTTCTGAGTGGCTTTTACTGAAAAACATTGATTAAAGGCACAAAAATGTACCTTTCAGTTCCAATGGACTATCAAGCCGTGGAAATAACCAAACTTTGATGGCCATTTTCCAACTAATTCTACCTCTGAAATCAGGCGACCCCCCATCTCCTTCAATCGCAAACATCTCAACTTGAAATTCAAGATAAATGATTTTCTTTTCACGGAAAACAAGGCAAATGAACAAGCTTTAAGATTATACCAGTAACTCCACATGCCCCAAAATTGACAAGCGTCTGATTTCACCACGTAGCCTCACATATATGTATATATATAATCCCTGTGGTAAGATAACTTACGTGGTGGCCTTGACTGCTCCAGAGTTTTGACCTTGGTCCTCAGCTCGGCGAGGGCCTCACGCTGCCTGCTGATGATCTGCTGATGCCTCTCCCCGCGGCACTGGGCACCCATGCTGGTCAGCTCGGAGGTGATACGGCCCTGACACACGCACAGACACAGACAGACACACTTGGTCAATACGCTGTGCTCATACATCTCAGAACAGCAAAACATTGGAAAACTTGAGGGAAGTTTTCACAGTTTTTGTAAGAGTTTTACAGCACTTGCAACACAATAAGGCCGAAGATTAGAGGTGTTACAAAAGAGTAACAAACGTGAAAAAGAAAGAGGAAGCGAAGAGATATATGGACGATAGATGTTTGATAGGAAATGAGAAGCAAACCACACCAGAGCACCCGCCAACCACGACACAGATACACTTGGTCAATATGCTGTGCTCATATATTTCAGAATGGCAGGACATTGGAGAACTCGAGGGCAGTTTTCAGTTTATGATTTGTTCTTACATAGAAGCAAACATCACAGCATGGACAATAATCTAGGGAGTATACTCATCATTAACAGCAATGTTAACAATATCTAAAACAGCAACGGAAACACTTTAATCACTAATATAAACAACAACAACAACCACAAAAACAACAGCATCACCAAAAACAACAACAGAAACAACAACCACATCATCACCAACAACAACAACCACAACAACAACGTCACCACCACCACCACCACCATCACCACCACCAGCAACAACAACGACAATACCATCACCACAACCACCAATAACAACCACATCACCACCACCACCACCACCAACAATCACAAAAATAGCAATAACAACTACATCCCCACCACCACCACCAACAACAGCAACAACAACCACATCACCTCCACCACCACCAACAACAACCCCAACAACAATCACACCACCATCACCTCCACCACCACCAACAACAACCACATCACAACCACCACCAACAACAACCACCAACAACAACCACAACCACAATAACAACCAAACCATCGCCAACAACCACAACAACAACAACAACTACACCACCACCACCAACAACAACACCAACACCACCAACAGCACATGTCTCACCTCCTGGTCCAGAAGGTCCAGCTGCTTCCTCTGCTCCTGTTTCTCTCGGTCCAGCTCCTCCTGTAGGAGTTTGAGACGAGCGCCGTTCTCCTCCGCTCCCAGCCGGTGCTTGGCACTGTCCTGCTTCTCCTTGCTGTACACAGGGACAAAACTAACTTAGCTTAGCTTTAGTAAGAGTTTTACGGCGCTCGCAACTGCATAAGGTCAAATGCAAAACAAACTTGAACTGTCTGTTTCGTTGTTTGTTTGTTTGTCTGTGTGTCTGTTTGTTTGTTTGTCTGTCTGTTTGTTCTTTGTTTGTTTGTATGTCTATTTATTTGTTTGTTTGTTTGTTTCTATGTTTGTTTATTTGAAAAACAATTATGTGAAAGACAAAATTTAGAGAAAAAAAAAATTACTTCTCCATATCTCCCTCCCACTCAAATAACTCATTATACACCTACATACACAAACACACACGCACTCACCCATAGAGACACACATACACACATGTCAACTCCCCTCCCCCCCACAATCCCCTCCCCCACACATAGAGACACAAACGCATGTACTCCTTCCCCTTTTCCCCTAAAAATAAACACGTACAGACACAAACACATACAGACACACATGCTCAGACACATACAGACACAGAAACACACAAATTCAAGCACAGGCACGACCTCCCTACCCTCACACACCCACACACACCCACATACAAACATATGCACACACACACATACACACACAGACACAGACACACACACACACACAAACACAGAAACACACACACACACACACAAATACATGCACCGGAATGAACCCCTTCCCTCACACACACACACACACACACACACATACAAACACACACACAGGTACACACACAAAAACACATAAACACAGACACACACACGACCACACACCTGAGCTGACCCTCCAGACTCTTCATCTCCTCCTTCTGACTGTCGATAATCTGGGACAGTTTTGCCATCTGTTGCCTGAGCTCCGTCAGCTCTACGCCACGCTGCGTGAGAATCTCTCGGTTGCGCTCCATTTCCTGTTTCTGCGCCTCGCTCATCTCGCCAGAGATGTCGGAGAGACGCGCCGAGGCTCCGGACAGATCGCGACGCAGACCCATGATCACATCCTGCGAGTCGCGGACTTCCTTCTTCAGCACTGTATTCTCTTGTCTGGGAAGGAATGAGAGAAAGAGGAAGAGAGTGAGAGGGAGGGAGAGAGAGAGAGTGAAAGAGAGGGAGAGAGTGATAGTTCAGTTGAGAAATTGTTTGTCACAGACTTGAGTAGGTTTTTGTTTGTCGGCATTAAAATAAAAACAACAACAATAATAATAATAATAATAATAATAATAATAATCATCATAATAATCATAATTTTAAAAATGACAATAATAATAACAATAGTAATAATAACAATATTATCACTTCTATAGCACCCACTCACTGGTGAGCTCAAGGCACTTCAAAATAAAATAAGACGAAAATCAACATTTCCCAAGTACACGCCCATTCAATAAGCAACAATTTTTTATGTTGTTGTTGGGAAAAAATTCAGGCCAGTAAGAAGAATGGCTTGTTGAAGGACACCTCTGGTAGGTCCCAGCTCTTTTCTTTGTCCCTCCGTTGCATCTAAACTGTCAGTCTGTCTTGCCTTTACAAAACCAATCTAATGAACTAGAGAGAAACTTCAGTGTCCTTGAGTCACATGAAATCTAAACATTGCATGCTTCACACTGGAATACTGGACATAAAGTTACATCTTGTTCTGGTTTAGTAGGAGTATTACGGCATTTGCAACACAATAAGGTCATACAAGAGCAGAAGATTCGAGGTGTTACAAGAGAGTAACAAACACAAAAAAGAATACAGGAGACATAAGGATGAATGAATTTTGAAAGGAAAGAAGGAGCAAACAACATCAGAACACCTACCAACCATCCACTGAGACAGTATCAAAGTCAAACAGGGTCAAGTGGTGCCAGGCATATATAGATGAGTCAGACAGACAGATAGACAGACAGACAAACAGACAGGCAGACTGACTGACAGACTGAGACAAGTGATGGGAGTATAGATGACTCAGACAGACAGACAGACAGACAGACAAACAAAGACAAGTGATGGGAGTATAGATCAGACAGACAGACAGACAAACAGACAGACAGACAGACAGACAGACAGACAGACAGACAGACAGACAGACAAACAGACAGACAGACAGACAGACATACAGACAGATAGGCAGAGACAAGTGGTGGGAGTATAGATGAGTCACCTGAGAGCGTTGACCACCTGTTCCAGAGCGGCCAGCTCCTCTCGGGGTCGCTGGACAATGACCTTTGGCTTGGGGGGCGGGGCCGGTTTAGACGAGCGCAGCTCTGGAGAGACAGGGAGCATACATAACTAGTACTTTCTATTAAAATAACTTTTGTCTGTTTAGTTTAGTTTTAGTTTTGGTAAGATTCTAAGGTGCTTGCAGTTGCGTAACGTCATATGAACGCCAAAGGGTGAATGTCAACAGAGAAGTTCAAACGGAGAATCAGACTTACTCTGCTCACCTCTCTAGCCTCAACAGCACAAAGTCTGTTTCAATTATCAAGGCACCCCGGAAATAGCAGTTCACAAGAGAGTGACAAACATACAAAAGAAGTAGAGGAAAATGACAATAGGAAAGAAAAAACACCAGTTCCCCCTATGTTGTTCCAGCACAGTGTGAGCATGACATTGATAAATCAGCCCATTGACAACTCTACTGTGCATAAGAACATGTTAATATCCCCCCTTTGAGATTGGCCTAAAGACACGTCAGTCAGTAACACTTCCCTGGGGAGGATTTGTTCATCTGAGTAAAGACGTGCACAATAACTATCATTTAGTGCTGGGGAAACATAAGACAGACGCATACACACAAACACACACACAGACAGACAGACAGACAGACACACACACACACACAAACATACAGACACACACAGACACGCAAACACACACACAGAGACACACACACAAACACTTAACTCACACACAGACACACACACACTCACACACACACACAAACACAGACACACACACACACACACACACACACACATACCCACACACAGACACTCACACACACACACACATAGACACAAACACAGACACTCACACACTAACACACAAACACCCACACACACAAAAACCAACACACAACTCTCTCTCACACACACAAACACCCCCCCACACACACACAGACACACACAACTCACTGCTCAGCTGTTCCTGGTAGTCTTTATTCTTCTTCATCAGTTTCTCCAGCCTCTCCTCCATTGTACAGATGGTCACCGAGTGCTGTTTGATCTGCTCCTTGTACGTCTCCACCTCCCCGTCCAGCCTCCCCATCAGCTCCTGCTTCTCCGCCGAGTGCTGGAACAGACACGTGGGAGAGGAGAGAGTTTTAGTTTTAGTACTAGATTTTAAAAAAAAAATTTTAGTAGGGGTTTTACGGCGCTCGCAACTGCATAAGGTCGTATGAGCGCCAGAAAATTAGAGAGTAACAAACATAAAAAAGAAAAAGAGGAGATAAGGAGGATAGATGTTTGATAGGACAGAAGAAACAAACCACACCAGAGCACCCGCCAACCACCCGTTAGTAAGAGTTTTACGGCACTTGCAACATAATAAGGTCATATAAGTGCCAAAGATATGAGGTTCTACAAGAGAGTAATAAACACAAAAAAGAAGAGAGATCAGGATGATAGATATTTTAATGGAAAAAAGAAGAAAACCACATCAGAGCACCTGCCAAGTGGGCTAACCTAGATTTCGGGGGTTTCCAAAAATCTTGACCTACCCCAAAAGTGAGCATTGCCCTACCAATAGGAGAAGTTTAGTTCCACTGGTATGTACATTTGTTTGATTATAGAGAAAACTCTCCTTGTCTTTTAAAGAAACTGAACAAGGGCAAAAACTTTTCCTTCAATTTTCTCCAAACAGCGTTTTTCGGGATAGCCCAGTTGCGCTTAATTAAAAGCGACCAATTTCTATTTCCCTTCATAATTACCTTGTCAGCGTCTTCGTTACGCAGCTGTTCCTGCTTTGTGAGCTCCTCCCTCAGCTCCTGGGCTGACCTCTTAACCTCTTCTAGCTGCTCCAGGACACTGGTGGCCTCCGACATCTTGTTGTGGTGGTCAGTCTGGAGGTCCGTCATCGACTGGACATACAACAAGAAGCCAGGACCGTGAGTTTAAGTTTTAGTAGAGGTTTTACGGTGCTCGCAACAGCATAAGGTCATATGAGCGCCAGAAGAGTAGAGGTGTTAGAAGAGAGTAACAAACATTACAAAGAAGAAGGGGAGATAAGAACAATAGAAGTTTGATAGGAAAGAAGAAGCAAACCACACCAAAGCACCTGCCAACCACCCACCAGGACCGTGAGGACTGACAGAAAGGACAGTGAGGATGGATAGGACAATGAGGACAGACAGACAGAATGAGTAGAGATGGATGGAACAATGAGGACAGACATACAGAATGAGGACAGGAGAGACAGACGAAACAATGAAGACAGACAGACAGAAAGAGGAGAGACGGATGGGACAATGAAGACAGACAAACAGACAGAATGAGGAGAGACAGATGGGACAATGAGGAGAGACAGACAGACACAATGACGAGAGACGGATGGGACAATGAGGACAGACACACAGACAGAGGAGAGACGGACGAAACAATGAGGAGAATAAGAAACAATTTGACTTCTCACTGATTAGACATTACAATCTCTCTTTCTTTCTTTCTTTTTATCTCTGATGCAATTGCCATCCACCTGTCTACAAAGGATGACACTCAATCTTTTCCAAATACATTCCTACATAAATGATCCACAAACAAGAACATATAAAAAATGTACACACAAATGGAAATGACTCACTCACAAACATGCAGAGCTTCTCTCCTCCCCCCCCCCC